GGGGGGGAGGCAAGCACAGGCAAGGTGGGGAAGGCAGGGAGGAGAGGAGCCCAGCCCCGCTCCCTGCTTGGGAAGTAGAAAGACCACAGATTTTTGGCAGGGGTGGCTCAGGCACCCCGTTCGGAGGCTGAGGTGATGCTGCTAATTATAAGCCAGGAGAGCAGAGCTGCAAGACTAAGAGCAAAGGTATGCTGGGCACGACGTAAGAGGTGCCTCTCCTCATGGGTGAGTAACAAGAATGAGCTGGAACGGGCTGGAAAGAGCTGAGCTCTTCTCCAGAGGATGACGTGACGCGCAGGATGAGGCCACTCCTCCCGGGAAGGGGAATAAAAGCCACAGGCGGCAGCACTGGGGCAGAGCGCTTCCAGCCCACTGGAGAGGGGATAACTGGACAGCCACCAGCAGCACCAGCAGCACCAGCAGCACCAGACCAGCAGACCAGCAGCAATGCTTTGCCGAATGCACCTCGCACCATTCGCCTCCAGCTCCCTGGCCACCCGGCTGGGCACAGTGAGGACCCTCTGGCCGCACGCTGAAACCATCTTCACTGAGCTGCAGCAGGAGATGGAGAAAGCTCGGGAGTTCATGAGCAGCTTCGAGCAGCTCCTGACCAGCCAAGGAGCCACCGCCATGGAGCCAGCCCCAAGCACCAGCACAGCTCCAACCCAGGGCTCCGGGGAGGGCTTCTCCATCTGCCAGGATGTGAAGAACTTTGCTCCCGAGCAGCTGTCAGTGAAGGTGGTGGGAAGGAAAGTGGTCCTGGTGGGGCAGAAGGAGACGCAGAATGTCGATGAGAAGGGCTCCTTCTCCTACAAGTACGAGGTGCTGAAGCGGGAGTGGGACGTGCCCGAGGAGGTGGACGCCGAGGCGCTGACGTGCTCCCTGTCCAAGGAGGGGCAGCTCCGCATCGAGGCCCCCAAGCTGGCCCTGCCGGCCGCCCCGGAGAGGAACGTGCCCATCCAGGTCAGCCCTGCAGCACCACAGCCTGGACCAGCCTCTGAGGATGGAGCCACCACCAAAGCCCAGGTGTAAAAGGAGAGGAACCGATGGCCCGCGGCAGGACCCGAGGAGATTGGAGCAAGTCTTGGGTTTTAGCCCAGACAAGCTCCATCAGCAATGATGTCTTTTTTTCACTATACTGGAATGTTTTTGTATCCAATAAAAATACTTTTGCATAGAACCCGCTTGTGGTCTCCTGGTGTTGATTGATGCGGAGGCTGGGTCCTGGTCTCAGCTCTTGCTGCCAAAGGAGCTGGATGCACAGAGAGGGAAGAACCTCTCTTGGTGCCTCAGGGCGGCACAAAATGGGGCCAACAGCAGACCCAGAGGGAGGGAGGGGATCTGTGAGCACTGAGCTCTCAGGGTGGGGGAGGCAAGGAGCTCCCAAGCAGGGAGTACTGACCTGTCCTGGAGCAGAGGCAGCTCTCCTGGGGAGCGGGCAGGCTGCCTTCACCCCCTCCTCACGTCGCTGCCAGCATCGGCACCAGCCCCACAGCCCCTCGCTCCCTGGCCAACGCCACCAAATGGGAAGAGAACTGTGCTGGAGGGCCCGGCTGGGTGTAGGGTGCCCCTGTTGTAGCTGTCCTTTTTCCTCCCAAGCAGCCTGGAAAGGGGCTCCTAGAACACCCTCTGGGATCCCAGGAGCAGGAGGGGATGAAGCCCATTTCCAGATGCTCTGTGTAACCACCACAAACACCCCTGCTCAGGCCCGGGCAGGCAGCAGGTATGCAGGCAGGCACGCCTGTTTGTGCTAGAGCTGCTCCGAGCTCAGACAGCCCTTCCCCATGGGAGCACGGTGCCAGCAGCAAGGAGGCTCTGCTCTGCCAAGCGTGGCCACATGGTTCTGTGGCCAGCAACAGGTCCCCAGCCCTGACACAGAGTCCCATACAGCTGAGCAGCACCAGCACCAAGACACCCCTTAGGGTATCACAGGTTCCTTCATAGAGATGGAGACCCAGAGTCCTGGAAGGAGCCAGAAATGAAGCCCTGTCAACCAGGAACCAAGCACAAAATGCCAGCAGATGGCAACAGCACCTCGCTTCCTGCTCACAGGGTTGCTCAGTTGGGAATCAGGGAAGCTCTTCAACAGGTCCCTCTCTTGCTGCCTGGAAAAAAAGCAGCAGCAGTCCAAACCACACTGGAAGCGACAAGACCTTGGATGTCCTGCAGAGGTCTGGAGCTCCTCTGGCAGATGAGCAGTCAGGCTCCCTTGCAGGGAATGGGAACAAGCGACACCAGGTGAGCAAAGCCCATCTGAGGCTGGTGGAGCCCACATACCACCTCTGCTCCAGCCAGACATCACAAACTCAGTCACTGAGTCACTCTAGGCCCTTCCCACTGCCAGGGTTTTAAGGAAATCCAGCACAAGCAAAAGGCACCAAGACCTCAGACAGAGGATGAAGCCCACATGAGCCAAGGCTGTTCACACAGACAACTTTATTCGCAGGTACCCAGCAGAGCTTTCATAGCCCCAACGCTGCCAGCCGAGGGCAAGCCCAGCCCGGGGCTGGTCGCAGTCGACTGTAGCTGTGCCTCTCGCAGAGATTCAGCAGCAGCCACGCAGCTGAGGAACAGCAGGTTCAAGCATCAGCACATCACAATCTTCAAGCTCTCCCAAGCACGAATGGTGCTGGCCCAGCAGCACACATGGTAGCGGCAGAGCTGCAAGGGGATGCTCTGTTTTCCATATTGACTCCAGGTCTCACCCACAGCTGTAAGGATCTCAAGAGTCCATGCAGCAGCAACAGGAGAGCAGCACCTTTCAAGGCCATCATCCACCAGGGACAGAGCCATTTTGTTCATTAATACTTGAGCACAGTATTCCTAAGCCTGTCCACTTGTCAAGCCAAGCTCCCCCCACCTCAAGCTGTGGGTAGTTTCCCTAGAAGCAATTAAAAACTCCCACTATTTACCTCAAACTTCCTTGCATGCCACTGCACAGCACACCACAAGCTTATTGAACCACCTGCAGCCTCTCTGTAAGGAGTTCCTGCCCCTGGAGGGAGCCAGCAGAGCCCACAGGTCTGAGGGCAAGCTGCCCATGTTGCTCCCTGCCCAGGAAAGGAAGGCCACGCATCCCTACGGAAGAGCCGGGTGTTGTACGCACCACAAGCAGCCTAGCACATCTCAGCCTCCAGCACAACTGTTACATTCTGGTCCACTCCCCTTTCTGGTTTGAGCTGATTAAGAAACATGAACATGGTTGATTATGATAGGTTTATAAAAATTTTGTTTTTAATCACACAAAACTGAAGTTTGTGATGAAGACTAGGTTGACAGTTCCTCTTAAATACCAGTATGCATAAGACATTGCATTAGGCACTAGGCAGCAGCCAACATCAGTTAGAGTCTGGCAACAGAAGCCATTTTAATACCTCCCTTCATACTTTGTGGAATTACAGGCTTTCGTAATACATATTGTTTCCACTGACAAGTTATCCGAGGTTTCCCCCACCCCACCTCTGTACATCAGTAAACCAAGTGTATTCACACCAGAGTAGGGTTAACAACATTAGTGGCATCACAACCATCAAAAAAAGGACAATTTTCTATACAAGATTTTTGCAAAAGTTGCAACAGGATTAGTGCATTACGACAGAACCGGAGATAGAAAAAAAAAGAGAGAGTTGGCATGCTAGAGTCCAACACAAATAAAGACAACAGGCAGCTAGTTGTATGTACTATATTGACAAGATACTGATTGGTTACATGAAGAAACATACAATACAAAATACAGAAGAAACCAGTTTTGCTTCCCTCTGCCCCACCCCAGAATACTCATCATTGATTTGGTCAATAAGTGGCTGAAAAAGCCAGAGTTTGTCACTATAATGCTACAGTTTAGTGGTTGTTCTAGGCCTATCGTACTGGTCTTAGCCTTAGCTTTTACATATGGGTAATTTTAAACAAGGTTGTCTAGTCTCAATATCCCTTTGTTTCCAATAGTGAACTACAGTACTGTGGGACCTGGGTGCTGCTGGCCCTCACCCGTGGGAAGGGCTGAGCTGGCTGGGCAGACACCAGGTCATGCATCCACCACCACCAGGAAGAGGGAAGAACAGAAGTTCATATATTAAAAAAGTGACTTAAGACTTAGAATTGAATTAGTATTTGTACAGAAAGGTGCAGGTGGAAGAACTCCCTCCAGCCTATGATCAGAAAGGGATGGAGAAATCCCCCCCCCCCCCCCCAGCCGCTCTACGGTAAGTGCGATTGTTAGCGTGGATTCCAGTCACGTCATTCGATGGCTCCGTCAGGCAGGAACGGCTGCTCAATTGCTGCAGCACTGGCTCCTGCTAGGCTGACTGCTCTCCTGAAGGTCAACCACCCGATTCCTACCTGGCCCACCAGGAGCATTCTGGGGTTCATTTTTTGGCAGTTTCTTGGCTAGAAAGAAACAAAGACATTAGTAGGCTCCTCTACAGAGGCCAACCCCCTCCCCACTGCAGATCAGAGGCTGGGCTCAGCCCTGCTCTGGCCCAAGCCTTCACCTCTTCAATGCCCAACCCCAAACTCCTGCTAGCAGCACGCATACAGCAAACCAACCCACTTCTAGTTCTGGCTGTCATCAATCCTGCTCCTTCCTTACCCACCGCCCCAGATAAAGGGAGAGAGGGAATAGGCTTTGAAGGCAAAGGCTCCAAGCACTCAGGGAGCAACTGTTCACAGGAAGCACAGCAAACTGGTTGTCCACTCCCGTAAGAGCCTCCAGACCCTGGCTGACATGGGAGCTCCCGTGGTTTCCAGTGGGCTGCACAGCTCACAGCTGGTTCTCAGAGCTACTCCAGCCAGCCTGCACACAAGCTGTTACCTATTGCCATGAAGATTTCATTCACATTCATCGCTGTCTTTGCCGACGTCTCCATGAACAGCAAGCTGTTGTCATCTGCATATGTTTGTGCATCCTACAAACAATCACATCAGAGTGGTTAAAGGCATCCTGCCAAGAGGCCCAAGCAGGCTTCACACGCTTCACTTGTTGGCAAACTGAACACCAAAGAAACCCTGTCCCACCCCAGGCCAGACATTCCACCCCAGTCCCCTGACCCTGCCTGGCCAGGACAGCTGGGAGACATGCACACTGCTGTCCCAGCAGCACAGACTGTTTGTGAGCCAAATGTAGACACAGCATGTCCCAAGCAGCACAAACACCTTGTACTTTGGTTAGCTGGGAGAGTAACACACACTGTAAATGCACCACAAGCAATCCTGTGCAGAGGTCTGAGATAAGAGCTTCTCCTTGAAAGTCTGCCTTAGACAAGGTAAGAGCTGTGAAGAGTAGAGAACAAGCTGGGAATGATTCTTCACGTGCCTTGTATCTAAAAGATGCGGTTTCATACACTGCTGGAGACAGCCCCAGGTGAGTACGGCACCAGGAAAGACTGAAGACAGAAGCTTGTGCTCTGTGGGCCTTATTCTTCACATTCATCATAATTGTTACCAACAAGAGGCACAAGGGCTGTGAACGGAGTGTATGGGAAAGGCAGGCTACAACTCCCTTTTGAGTGGCATAAATCTTGACTTCCACTCTCCCTCAAACCGTTTTGCACACAGCCACCACCTCCCCCACTTAAGCAAAAAAAGCTGCTTTCCTGGCTCGCTCAGGTAACAACTGATCTGGATTCCCACTCACCTGGAAGTCCACAGCTCTCTTCGTAGCAAGGTCTGCCTTGTTTCCTGCTAGTGCAATTACAATATTGGGGCTAGCCTGCCTCTGCAACTCTTTCACCCAGTTCTTGGCTCGTACAAATGTGTCCTGGAAACAAACAGGAGGCAGCAGTCAGGAAGGGCAGCCTCTTATTAATCCCCAGTGAAGATATGATTAGAACAAGTCTTTTGTGTAAGAAGTGTTCTGCCTCTGTAGCATTTTGGAGCAGGATCCTTTATCAGCTTAGACAGCCTTGGTCAGAACTGAGGAAGAGGCCATTAGCAGTTTTCATGAAACTCAGTACCTGCAGGCAGGCATCTGCAGGGGCTCTGGACCCAGACACTCTCCCAGGGAACTGAGAAGCATTAGCTGCAAGTGCAGACACCTCCTCCCCAGTAAACACTCACAGCCCTGAGCAGTACTCACTGTGTTAGTGATGTCGTAGACAACGATGGCTGCCTGGGCACCTCGGTAATACATCGGTGCCAGGCTGTGATACCGTTCTTGTCCTGCTGTATCCCATATTTCAAACTTCACTGTTGTGTCATCCAGACAGACTGTCTGTGTTAGGAAGGCAGCTGAAAAAGAAGGTGCATGTTTGCCTTACCTCCAGCTGGAGAGCCCCTGCAGCAAGAGCCAGGAGCTTGGAGCAGTTCTGCTTTTCCACAGGAACGAGCAGAAGCCCCAGGCAGAGGCCAGTGCAGTGCCACTTGCTGTGGAAGTTGCAGCTCTGCTGGATCGTTAAGCTCCTCGCACACAGGAACCCAAGAGCCCCCACACAGCCGATGGGAAGGTGGCCCTGAGAGCAGCCAGCCACCGGAGCAGCAGCACTGCCAGTCCCTTCCCCAGCCTCCTCTCACAGATCACACAGTGCAGCTGCAACATCGCCAGGATTAGCTTTGGAGAGCACCACAAGTGCCAAAGCACTGAAGTCAGCCCAGTTACACTGCAATCCCCAATTTAGTAACTGGTTATTTTCTTGTTCCAGTGACTATAATACCCTGTGTTACAACTAGGATAAAGGCAACCAGCCTCGGATGCAGACTGAAGCAGAACCGCAGAGTGCCCACATGGCCCCCTGCAGAGGAGCACTAAGCCCTGTTTGCCCATAAGCTATACTTACAGCTATACTTTGTCCCTATAGTAACCCATGCAGGGATTAATCAAGCCTTTTCTCCATACACACCTCCTAATATTACTGCCCAGAAACCCAGGTGCTGACCGACCTTTGATTGGTGACACCATGCTAATGATTTCAAACTAAAGAACTACGAGACCTGAAAAGAGCTGTGGAAGTACTTAACAGTATCAGGCTAGAAACAACCCCAAAATCCCAGGTCATGGTCTGAAAAGATAATTAAGGGCTATAAACCAAGATGAAGGCCTCAATTCTAATTAGAAGCAAGAATTCAAGCACTGGAAGTGAAGACGCCTTAGAGGCAGAGCGCGTGGTTGCCATAGCATTATTCTCTGCTGTGCTGATCTTCACACCAACAAACAAGTTGGAAACCAAGAGTTAAAGCGTTAGCTGCTTGACTATTTACAGCAAAAAACCCAAACTGGATTGAAATAGCCATTAATGCTTCCAATAGCCCTGGACTGCATTGGTGAGGCCAGCATCTTCTAGCCAGAGGTATTTGGAGTTGGCACTCACCTCCAATCGTGCTCTCCTGGTACTCGTGGAACTGCCCTTTCACGAAGCGCAGAACAAGGCTGGACTTCCCCACCGCCGACTCCCCCAAGAGCACAAGTTTAAACTGGCAGATTTTGTTTCCAGCAGCTGGTCCATTCGGTCGAGCAGCTCCACCTCGACCTGCCATTGCGGTCTAAGTGCAGGAGTGCCAAGAGTTAAGGATGCTGCAGGTTCTGCACTGGGATCCACCTGGAGGCAGGTTGCAACTGGAAGAGGAGATCAGAGTTAGTGACCCGCTCATGGACCAGCCGTACCAGTTCTAGAGGGTGAGTTTGATCTGCAGCCACCATCAGCACAGGCAGGCGGTGATCCCTTCCCACGGTGGAAAGTTATCAACCACATGCACCACAGCACTATTGGGCAGCTTCTGTCAGTCAGCAGTCAGAAGGGATATTGTTAACACAAGCTTTCCTCCCCACCAGCGGGCCCTCCAGAACTTCCACTATGTGTAGACATTACACCTTGCTAGGGTGAGGCAAGTAAAGACCAGCCAGCACACAGTGTTATTAGAGCTTCATCTATTAAAACAACAATTACTCAGCTCACAGAGGTAACCGAGGTTGACCTTCAGGTCCTTCCTCATCTCCCAAGTTCACAAGGTAGCAACTTCAGAGTATCAATGCAGTACAGAGATGTTGAAGTGCCTCACGTAAGCCATTAGGGGAAGCAGTCCTGTACGTCAGCCCTTCAGATCACAAGGCATTCAGATAAAGGGAGCTTCTATATTCAGGCTGTTAGTTTAGAGGCACTCCCAGCAAGCCATTAAACATGGCATCTTAGAGCAGTCCTGAAGAAGGGCTTTGAATTGCTACGCAAGCAGCCTGCCAGAGGGAGGAAAGGCATTTGGTAGCAGCCGCTCTCCGGGCACAGGCTGTGTATTCAGAGACTGAAAGCAACATCTCCCCATCCCTGCTGCAAAGGGAACCGAACAAGAGTCTCAACAGCTTGATCCAAATGCAGAGGCAACACCTAATGCTTCCCACACCCCATCCCAGCTGCCTCATTCCCCTTATCCTACATCATTCCAGGTCATCAGCCTACTGGCCTCGTTCTTCATGAGAAGACTGTTCAAACCCAGCTATGCTGAACAGCACAAACAGGGAGCATCACCCATGACCAGAACTGCCATCCATCTCCCCAGTGCTCAATTCAACAGCACCAAGTCTCTAGAGTTGTGCAGAAGCACAAAACAACAGCAAGAGCAGCAAGACAAGCTGGTTTACATCCATAGTTAACCACAAGTGAAGCCTCCGAGCCTTCCTAACCCCTACTCAGCTGCATGCAGCAGAGAATAGGAATACTTTCGAAGGGCACATTTCCACAGGTTCAGGCATATTTCCTGTTCTCATCACAACTCCTGTCAATGACAAACGCTACAACTGATCGCATCTGTTCTGCATCACCACATTCCCTTCAACCCTCATAACCCAAGCTTCTTGTTGACAGAGACAACTGCAAAGAAAATCCCCCAAAAGCCAGTTTCTCCTTGTTCCGAGTATACCCCCAAGGAAACTCTGGGTATGCTCCGAGTACATCCAGCATTTACCCAGCAAATACCAGATTCCTACGACTGAGATGCTTAAAGCAGGTTGAAATGGGTCTGACCTGGAGCAGTGTCCTGTGAACAAGGCTCAGGCCCACCTCAAGAGGCTTACCAAAGAAGAGTTTCAGGTACCTGCTTTCCAGAGCAAGGCCTATCCAGGTGTGACTGCGAGAGGCTACTTTAAGTACAGCTCAAGTTTCAACTCAATTCCCTAGTTTGACAGGAAACCTACAGCCATTTCCATCCAAGAGCTCATCTGGAAGGAAGGGGCAGCATTAGCATCATCAGCCAGAGAATCCCTTCAGCTTTCAAAACGCAAAAGCTCTTGAGCATGCTCTGACCTACAGAGACATTCAACCTCAAATTGTTTTGACCAGGAGGCAAGCCAGAAACCCACTGTTAAGCCCATACTGTTTGCTGAAGCTAGCAGGTAAGAGAGGAGTCACTCTGCAACGCAGTGAGATGTTTCAGTAGCCCAAGCTGTGAAGAAGCCATGGCTTTGAGTGGCCTGCCCAGTCTTGGGTTAAATCAGTGAAGAAACCACAATTCTGGGTCTGGGAAAGACTGTCTCCTCTTCCTAGAAAGGACAAACACTGTTTTGACAGGATGAGAAAGCTTGATAAGAAGTAAATTAGCAACTTGTTTTGCTGGACAGTGAGGAAGCAGCGTTTTGCAGCTCCGGCCAGGAGCAGTTTGGTTACCACCAGGTTCGAGGGGCACATCAGCAGCTCTACATCTCTACCAGCCTGAAAAAAAGTTCCCACCTTTTAGAGTTTCTCCTCTAACCAGAGTTTGCAAGGGAACAGCTTTTGCTTGTTTAACCTTGTATTCATTTACCAGGGCAGTCTATCAGCAATACGTAAGCTCTGTCACTGCTGCAGACTAACAGTCTTGCACATTAAATGCCACGTGAATCATGCCTCCACGGAGTTATGACCTCCTGAAATACGATAGGGGTGATTCCCAGAGCAAAACAAGGAAATGAGCCTGTTGACATCCTCAAGTCTTAGTGTGACCTATATTTCACAGATTCATTTTGCCATCTGGTTGTGCCGCGTGAACTCCAACAGAATTAAGCAAGCATGTCTGTACGTCCAGCTCGTCATGGAGAGCTGCTGATCAGAGCGGGTAGTCAAGCAGCTGGAGTCTGCGACCACTTTTAATTATAGAGAACCTGATCATCATCTAAAGATGGTTTGAAGCTTGGCTGCCGGATTATATTGACTTTGTGTTCATCTGAGAAGCTGCCCAGATCTTTAGGATGTTTGGGGGGAATTTATGCAGTTCAGATGACCCTAAGTGCAGCCACCTCACCAAGGGTCTCCAGCTAAGAACATAGACAGGATCAGAACGACCACCTTAGTATTTCTGCTGACATTCACAGGAAGGCCAAATAATTGAAGTGAATGACTACCAAAGCTGTAGACAGTGAGAACTCTCCATTGCAGGAGGATCACTGTGGTACTTTTTGCTAATGCCAACGTCTTTGAGGATTTCTACATTCCCATCAGGAACAGAACTCCACTCTGCTGAATGCAGAAGTAACAGCCAGATGAGCTACACAGCCTGGATCCACACTAGATCAGCGATGATCAGTTTGAGAACCCGAGTGCTTCGTGCTGTACAAAGCCATTTCTGATGCTCAGGGAGCCTGTTCGGCCCCTCTTCCAGCAGAGCTGATCAGGCATGCGTGCCTCCCTGCTCCCCGTGAGAGCACCGACACTCCAGCCATGGGTCAGTCAGACCAAAATAACTACAGCGATACCGTGCAGACAAGAGAAAGCAGCTGAACTTGCAGCTTGCCATACTAATTCAAGAAGTCAAGACCACGAGAAGGAAGGGTATGATAGGGTACTCCTGTAATCAAGATTAAGAAGTATTAATTTTCCTACTAGCTTCCTGCAACTAGTGAAACTCAGCAGCTTGGGATGTCACAAGATCCATAAAAAGGTCTGTGCTGGTTTGCCTGCCCTACTGAAGCGCATGCAGGAGCTCTGCATCACACAGGCAAAAGTACCATTTTTTTTTTATTGTAAACTCTTGGAACAGTCTCTTGTTTGCTGTGAGATCAAAGGCAAGTTTCAACGCATGATGCAGTCCAACAGAACTCTAGGTCGATCATTTCTGCAGTTCATGCTCCTCTCAACAATTCACCCATTCGCCAGGATTTGTTCTAGGGGCTTGTACACTCCCATGAATATTGAATTCAAGAATCTGAATGCCCTACATGAGAAAGCGTGTGTCAACACTGCTACGCTCACAGCCTACCCAAGAGCAAGGCAGTTCTCCAGAGCTGTTCGGATGATCGAGAACAGCACCAACCAGCCCAGGACAAGAACCCCAATCTCCAGAGGGCAATTACTGTCGGACCCCCATGTTAACCCCTGCAGGAGACAATTGCTTCACAAGACTCCGTGTCACAGGGAAGCTCCTGGCTTACGGTGTCAGTTGTTCAGAATCTGGTGTCTTTGCCCTGCGTTCACCCAGCAGCAAGGACTACTCTGGAAGCTGGCGATACTTAGAAACCCAATCCTAAAGAATCTAGTTACTTCAAGAGGACTGCTTCTGCTCTCAGCTATGCAAGAAGCCATTTCACTGGGGATTTGTTGGCTTAGAATCAAAATACTCAAGACAAAAGCCCCAGTGAAGTATTTATCTTGTTAAATAGCTGACAGCATTACATGAATTTCTTGGCAACGCAACCCCTGAAGTTACTGAGCGGTTTTGCTTCACCTAACACTGAATGGGCAGCTAGCCACCACTAGCAGGAAGCTCGTGCTACCTTGCTCCCACCCAGAACTGGCAAGTCAGCTTTAGGACCCAGATTCACCAGCAGCTTCCACGAGCAGGACCAGCAGGAAGCGTGGGACCCAGGAGAACACCACACAGTCTCCACTAGCCCAGACTAACGTTGCATGGAGCATCAACCTGATTTTCCAACATGTTAATAGGATTAATAAGAACAAACTGCAAAAGCCTTACTGCAGTAGGGTCCATACTGCAGAGGAAGGAGCACCAGATCCAGCTCTTCCCAATGAGACGAACCAGGAAACAAACTTGCAAGTACAGACCTCAATCCCTCAGCCCCGTAAAGTCTGATCAGTTTTAATACATCATCTTTCCGCGGACAACATGCACTTCCCTCCACAAACAAAGAGCACTTAGTCTCTTGATCAGTAAGGCTTCAGTCACAGCTCTAAATTGGGGAACTAGTCATTGCAATTGTCAGGAGCAGCGCTACAGCCTTGAAGTATAGATTCACAAACCTAAATCAGCCCAGACAGTAGTTTCGGAAGCACTCCTATGGTTTTAACACCATCATAAGTTAAAGTCACAACTTCTGTCGAGTCTTGTGCCCAAGCCTTCCAAAGACTTGCACACACTCAGTTTAATCTAAAGATAAATAGGATTTACATCAGCAAAAAATTACTTTTTTGGTAGCTTCAGTCCTGCACAAGTGTAGCAGAATCCAGAATACCAGCTCCTTTTTGTGCTTTTAATACACAGACCTGTTTCCCAACATCTGCAGAGCCGTGGCCTCCAAAGCAGCCCCAGCAGCTGGGTGTTTTTCAAAGCAGCTTTTCAAAAACAATTCTATCATCAGAGATCTCAAGGCCACTACCCTGCAGCTACCACTCAATCCAGCACAGATGCTCTGCGCAGCTGAGCTAGCAGGACAGCACAACAGGCAGCTACACCCAGCCGGGCAATCCGGGGCCAAGCCAGCAGAAGAGGCCTTTCCATCACATCATGATGCAAGCAGAGGCCTAAGACCAACTTGGAACACATCGTTATGTACAGAAAGCTACTGCTCAGTTTGAGGCTGAATTTCATTTGCCAGATGACACCTGCTTGAGCTAGGCAAGTCAGCTCTAAAGCTGTTAAGAAACTATGAAGCCAGGAACACCCATGCATCCTATAAAGCTGATCTGACTTTGGGACAATGCAACAAAGATCACAGCCTACACAACTGAGTCAAGAAGTGCAGTACTTTGACCAAAGAGAGTTATGCAGCTCCCTCAAGTCTTCTGAGGGGATGTGGGGGGGTTAAACTGGCTAGAAGGGCTTCCTAGGTTTAAGGAGTTATCCTCTAGCAAGAACTCTTGAAAACACCTCATGAGGTAAAAAAGCATTACACCTACTGATGCTACCTTGGAGCTACCTTTTTTTATACTCAGAGTTGAATAGGTATCAGCAACAAGAGTTATTATCACATTGGTCACACTGGCAGCACAAGGAAGTTCCATGCCTAATCCAGCAGGGGTTTTAATTCTGCAGAATAGCATGACTAATTGCTTTTAAAACTGCAGTTAGTGTCCTATCAGATCACCAAAGCTGAAGAGAAACACATGGTGAAGGTAGCACTTCTAGAACTCATTCTAACCAGGGCCAACACACCCTCAGCAGCTTGGACACAAGTGAACTCACACCAGATCAGAGCAACAGAAGACCCGTGAACACAAGCTTTTAGCACTGCTTCAGTCAAGTGCTAATTAACTAAGCTATGGAGACAATACACTTACAAAGATTGCTTTAAAATAAAGAGCAAAATGAGCAGTGGCAGCTTTCTCCCAAGTCCTAGCAAGGCTTGAATTGCAGCAAAAGACTTCTGTGGAAGAGCTTTGCGTGACCTTCATTTTACATGAGCTTCTCACTAGTTGTAGGGAGCAAAGCCTCCATATTCCCTGTCCTCACATTAACTCCCTCTTGAAGGTCTTACCCACTTTTAGTTATCCTTGATACTGCAAGAACTTGGTCTTACTTCACAGCAGATGAGGCACAGCTAGGCTGAAGGAGTAACTCATGACTGAAGTCTGGACCAACTACAAACTGAACAAAAGCATCAGGTTTTTAATTCTGCAGGGAAGGTTCTTTTAAATCCTGTTCTTGATATTGCCCACCGCTCAGCATCCCCTCAAAAGACACGGCTTAATTTTTCTCCAAGAGTTCAGCAACACGTACCTTTAGATAGCGCCTACTGTTCTGTGAACAAGAAGGCAAGATCATTAACAACACAAAGCAAAAAATTGCCATCTTCACTGCAAAAAGAGTCAGTGACCTTCATAATATCTTTTCCAGACTGCACAACAATCTCTTGCCTCTAGCAGCTCCTTTATTTGGAGCTCTACCAAATAAAAGCAAACACAAAACCCAGCGTTTTCTTATCTGTTTATGTAGACCTACTCCAGCAGTTCATTCCTGTGCTCCAGGGGAGGAAAGCATTCTTTTTAGGATTTAGATGAAGCTTTGTTCTTCCCCGATACTGTCACTTCTAGGAAGGTTCATTGTTTCTGCCTAGCATTTGGAGCTTTTTCATAGTGTTACTCTGACAACTTCACAGAACTTGCATAAGAGGACTTCAAACTTCATACCCCAAGGGAAGAAACCAGCTGATTCAACTGTTTCTACATTCTACCCTCTTTTAAGTATGCTGACCAAAATACTTTGGGCTACACCCACTTCATTAGAAGCGTTCCCATTTCATTTCCTGTGTCTGAGAGTACTTGGCATTCTCTCCCCCCTCCCTTTTCAGGGATATGCCGTGATCACCTACCCGCTAAACACACAGCGGTTTAAGAAGTTTGGATCAAGAGCTGATGACTAGCAGGGCCTTGAGCAATTCTAGAGCTGATTCCTCTTTAGATGCAGAAGAGCTTTGCTGCAATGGAGATAATTCCACTTCTTGTCACAACAGTTAAGTTTGGCCAAGCACACAAAGTATGAAGACATTACTAGACAGTTTTACTTCAGACACTGCCCAATCCATTATTGTTTTCCCTAGTAAAGCAAAGGGACCTAACCCCAACTCTGTTCATAGTTAAACTAGACAGATGTTTTACTTTACAATATTCATATCCACACATCAAGCTGGCCTCCCCCTTACTGCTCTCCAGTAACTTAAATCCTTCTTCAGGAGTCCCGTTTCATCTTGCCTGTGTTGCTCCCTCACCTGAAGGGGTATCAGCACCTACTCAAACAGCCTCCAGGGACCTACGTTGCCTGGCACTATCTTAAAACAAACGTAGTGTAAATCAACCTAATAGTATCTTAGAGGGAGAGATTGCCTCTAGAGGTAGATTTTTGCTGTGAAAGTAGTTGACTGTTCGGGCGTACGGTGGAGACTCAAGAGAAGTTGGGAGGTTCGGTAACTGTGTCCCAGTGCTGAAATCTAAGCATTGCAGGTCCATACAGGCTTGTGCTTTACCTGCTCTCCTCACTCCAAGAATGCATTAAGGCCAACGCTGTCTTGTAGCTGCCTACACCCACAAAAGACTCTTAGAGTCAAGGCGGTAACATTAATGGGATATTCCGAGAAAGTTCACGCAGGCAGCATGGCACGTCAGGTCAATGTGAATCAGAAGTATCTTTCTTTTTTTGGTCCCAACCAAGGTTGGAGTCCTGCCTTCAGAGTAGGCTCAGGAGCCCTAACTTGGTGCAAAGCAGAACTGATGTCATGCTACAAGCAGGGCAGCTCAAATATGTGTTGACCCACCACACAAAAAGCTAAGAATAGTAGATGCAAGTTGTTCCACATAAGACTTAAAATAGTACCTCAGCGTATTCTTCCCTCCGATTTCCTTACATGCTTGGAAACAGTCAAGGTCAGAACTCCAACAGCCACGTACAAAAGCAACAAGCTAAAGGTCAGCTGAGATCGGGTCAACACTGTATTTAGTCTTGCTGGCAAACCAGTTTACAGTGAGAATCCCAGTTAGTTTGCAGAGAGCACCTACAACTGCCACAGCTCCCACCCAGCCCCCTGGAGTTTCAGGAGCACAACCAGGAATAAGGGTCGAGCAGCCTTCGCAGGGTTTAGCACTACAAACCTGTTGCTCACACTTGCATCTGCTGCTCTTAGCCTTTGCAGGATCACATAGCGGCTACGCTCTCAGCTTACATGCAGTGGTCTCTCCCGCTGTATCAAAAATCCAGGGAGGGCCTTGCACCCGAGCATGCCTGGGTCTCCTTCCCAGCAAGCTACAAAACTTTCTTGCAGTTCAGTTATTTAAGAGCCTGCAGCATTGCACAGTTTGCTTCACAAATGCCCCTTGGAGGGGGCACAGGGGCCGTGTTTGTCACCAGCAGCGATACAGAACGGGCTCCATTCCACTAGAACCTATTTTCAGCAGATAAAGTCACATCCTTCATTTAGGCAGCTCGCTTCTCAGGAACCTGGCTTACAGTTTCTGTTCCCACGTCAGCAGCTGACTAGCTACAACAAAATATTATACCACCTCATAAGGATAGAGTGCCACACCTTCCCCAAATTCCATTTAATTTTCACAGTCGTCGCTACAAGAGGGACAAAGGAGTCGGGTAACGGGAGCCAGGCAGACCCAGCGTAGCAACAGCAGGCGCTTGTCCCTGCTGCCCAGCGAGCCCTTCCTCCTTATGAGGGCAGGCAGCCCAAAGGGGCGCCAAAGCTGAGCTCCACGGTGCACACCCGACGTTCTCCTTCAGTCTCAGATCATCACCTTTGACG